GAGCGGTGGAGGTAGAGATGTTACGGCAGGCATAACCTAGAGAAAAGGCATTGCAGATGTCAAAGGAATTCTCAGGTCTTAGTTTAACTCTCCTTTATTAACACATCCTCCCAGCTCCCCATATCTGCCGAGTACAGCGTTTCAGAAAATCCCGAGTATGAGCCAGTTCCTCCTCTTACGGCTCAACCTGTGCGGAGCCACCACCAGAGTTCAGCAGACTCCACGCTATCCAAGTGACCTTCACAGCACAGATTCCACACCGCAGCTTCTGAAACCAGCAATGCCACACTGAGGGCAAAAAAAAATAAAAATCAAAGCCTTCTTCCCAAAGAGCTGACAAGAGACGAAGCAGGCTGCACGCAGGAGTATTTTGCCTTTAGTATGCACAGTTTAACATTTCTTCACACACTAAACCAAAGACCTTGCTGCACTTTGGAGAGTTTCAAGTCTGAAAATTAACTCCTCCACAAATCAGACATGATTGCCCTAAAATATTTCTGCAAAAACACACTCTTGTTCCAGTGAACAGTGTTACCCTGAGTATGACTTCACAGATCCCAGGATACATACCTGGTGAGCCACACAAAGAGCACACAAAATATTTATTCTCCCCCCATCTATCAAGAAAATACTTGATCCATCTCTACTAACTACACATGGAAGCACCTAGACAAACTTGTCTTGTTTCAAAGCACTCATAAAACCTGGACCACAGTATGAACAAGTTCTGTCCACACGTGAAATGCCACTTTTCTGACTCAAATCCCAGCTCTCCTTTTTCTGCTGAGAAATTGTATTTGGCCTGATGCTCTCTCGCTACACGAACGAATCTCTGCTCTGTTCAAGTGACCTCGATCTTGTCCGAAAGGATCCTCTCAGGCAGATCTAGGCTGAATCTGTGCCGAGTCTGAAATGGAGTAAAAGCATTACTTCTTAAGTAATAGGCACATCCATCGACTGGAATGCAGCCATTTATCTGGGGGAGGTTTACTGCTCAGTGTTGTTAAAACGTTCAGGAATGAAACATCTTCATGCCCAGCAGCAAGGTGGCAAAGTCAGCACAGGGAAAACAAGCTCAAAACCTCAGCCTGCACCTTTCCAAGGGGTGCTGCCCTCTCCCTGCGGCCCCGTGACACTTGGGCTCCGCTGAACTTTGGCCCTGTTTCCACTTTGTCTCGGGTGCTGGCAGCAGGGACTGACCTTTGTGCTCCATTCCACAGCGTGAAGCTGCTGGGATGGAAATTCGCGTCAGGTGAGTTTGTGCACGCGCGTGTGTGCCATGTGCCCACAACATCGGTTCATAAACAAAGAGCAAACTGGTTTCCACTCCAAAGCCACTTTAAACTAATTTTGACTAGGACAATACCCAGATTGTGATCACTGTAGCCAACATTAATTTCCCTAAATTTTCTGTGCGCTAAAGTCAAGTAATCCTGAAACTCAAAGCCACTGCTCATTTTCCGCAAAACTGAGTGTGGTCTGACAACAACGTCTCTGCTGACAGATCACAGAATGGTTTGGGTTGGAAGGGACCTTCAAGATCATCCAGTTCCAACACCTTCCACTACACCAGGTTGATCAAAGCCTCATCCAACCTGGCCTGGAACACTTCCAGGGATGGGCCAGCCACAGCTTCTCTGGGCAACCTGTGCCAGTGCCTCACCACCCTCATTGTAAAGAAATTCTGCCTTAGATCTCATCTAAATCTCCCCTCTTTCAGTTCAAAGCCCTTGCCCCATGTCCTGTCACTACATGCCCTTGTCCAAAGCCCCTCTCCAGCTTTCTTGTAGCCCCTTTAGGTACTAGAAGGCTGCTAGGAGGTCTCCCTGGAGCCTTCTCTTCTCCAGGCTGAACTCATGTTCCTCAGCAGAATATAATGCGCTTTCAATGGCAGTATTTTAACCCGATAAAACTCACACAGCCTTACTTTCAAAAGAAAGCAAGGACTGAACTGTCTCACTGAATTCATTCACTTCAATCCTGTATCAGCACATATGGAAGGAGAATTCGACTAGACAAATCTCGGCTGCAAGGCAAGCAATAGCATTTTGCTCCCACACCCTCCGGCAGGCATCTGCTGAGGCTGGGATGTGGGAAGGTCAGCAGCACGTCGCTCTCCAATGCTCATTACGAGCAAGACACTGACTATCTAGCAAAAACTCTACCGCATGCAAAACACACAGTGTCAATTAAAAAGGGAAAAGGTTGATTTTTTTTTTTCCTCTTTCTATGGTCTAACATGTTTTTGTCTATCAGTTTCTAAACAGACTGCTTCCATGAATACCTTAAATTCCACTTTGCCTTTCTGTTCTAGCAAAACAAAAGATATGAAGTAGGAAATATCAAGGGCACGACTGAACAAATCCCACTACAAACTCTTTTGGGAAAGGTACCGTCATCAGAGTAACAGTTGCTTAACAGTTGAGTGAGGTTTCTTTAGCCTGACGGTAGTTACTTTAGAGCCCAGAATACTTTAGGAAAACATCTTCCATGTCTAAAACTAAAAGCACATTTACTTGGTCAGAGTCACAGCACATCTGCTTTAGGCATTGATTCATTCAGCAGCACAGTGGTAAATTGCCAAGATCGGAGCCAGAAAAATCTTCCTTCACAACGCTGAAGGAAACAGCAGCAGGACAGACGCATGCTTCCACCGCTTCACTCACATTCACTCAGGAATTAAGGGCCTTGAACATCAATTCCACTTTCACTGTTTCGCTCACTCCAACTAAAAGACTGTCTAGAGATGGGAACTCCAACACTTCAGCCAGCTGCTCTCAGGACTTGGCCGAGAACTTGGATGCAGAGGAGAACGAAGAACACCCCTTTCATACAGTCCGGCCGCGACCTGTTTCTTCCCACTTTCTCTTTTCTCTGTCATTTCCTCAGCTGATTCCCTGTCCCTGTTCTTCCCCTTCTTGCCCTTCCACTCACCCGGACGCAGCATGCCACTTGAAGTGGGAACAGCCTCCATGGATGGCTCAGCAGACAAGCCTTCTCGCACTCCAGGACCAAGCCAAGCACCAGCAGATGAACCAGCTGACGCTCAGGACACCCGCCCACGCCTTCAGCCCGTACCTGCAAGCCGATGGCACAGGGCACCGAGCTGTGAGACAGGAAACTTCGGACAAACTGAGCTTTCCTGTCCTCTCTGGGAACCTGTTGGCACATGGCATGTGGCTCAGCAGGTCAGGCCAGCTCTCAGGCTCACTGTCTTCTCTCTGCTTGCTGCCTCCTGTATGCTTTCTAGCCTGCCCTGGCGAGGTTTGCATCCAATTTAACAAATGCTTTGTTAGGGCAGAACGACGCTATTAATTACAGTGAGTGACAGTGTCCTCATAGCACCTCCTGGACTGTTTGTGATGAAGAATATTGCCAGTTAGAACAAGGAATCCAACCGACGACAGCCTGAGCACTAGAGACCCCAGTTCTGTTGGTTATCAAACCGCAGCACCCTGCTCCTGGAGTAACCAGCTCACACACAAGCTCACCCCAACCCTGCATGGAAGACAGGTATTTGGTGCAAACGAAACGCTCCGAGGTTTCAGGTTGACATCAGACCCTGAGGCCCTCTGAAGCACAGAAATAAGAACTGAGCCTTGCCCTTTGGCCTTCCCAGGGGCACCTGGTGACTCCCTGCTCCAGCAGCTCCACGAGGAAGCACCACGACCAGCAGAGCGCCAAGCCCCTGCCCAGCAGGTCACACGGCAGCGTTAGCCCCTG